GGTTCTGTGTGTGTACTGTCACATGTGTGTAGCGAAATGTTTGTATCTATGTATGTTCTGTGTGTGTACTGTCGTATGTTTGTAGCGATATGTATGTTCTGTGTGTGTACTGTCACATGTTTGTAGCGATATGTATGTTCTGTGTGTGTACTGTCGTATGTTTGTAGCGATATGTATTTTCTGTGTGTTTACTGTCACATGTTTGTAGCGATATATAATTTCTGTGTGTGTACTGTCACATGTTTGTAGCGATATGTATGTTCTGTGTGTGTACTGTCACATGTTTGTAGCGATATGTATGTTCTGTGTGTGTACTGTCACATGTTTGTAGCGATATGTATGTTCTGTGTGTGTACTGTCACATGTTTGTAGCGATATGTATGTTCTGTGTGTGTACTGTCACATGTTTGTAGCGATATGTATGTTCTGTGTGTGTACTGTCACATGTTTGTAGCGATATGTATGTTCTGTGTGTGTACTGTCACATGTTTGTAGCGATATGTATGTTCTGTGTGTGTACTGTCACATGTTTGTAGCGATATGTATGTTCTGTGTGTGTACTGTCACATGTTTGTAGCGATATGTATGTTCTGTGTGTGTACTGTCACATGTTTGTAGCGATATGTATGTTCTGTGTGTGTACTGTCACATGTTTGTAGCGATATGTATGTTCTGTGTGTGTACTGTCACATGTTTGTAGCGATATGTATGTTCTGTGTGTGTACTGTCACATGTTTGTAGCGATATGTATGTTCTGTGTGTGTACTGTCACATGTTTGTAGCGATATGTATGTTCTGTGTGTGTACTGTCACATGTTTGTAGCGATATGTATGTTCTGTGTGTGTACTGTCACATGTTTGTAGCGATATGTATGTTCTGTGTGTGTACTGTCACATGTTTGTAGCGATATGTATGTTCTGTGTGTGTACTGTCACATGTTTGTAGCGATATGTATGTTCTGTGTGTGTACTGTCACATGTTTGTAGCGATATGTATGTTCTGTGTGTGTACTGTCACATGTTTGTAGCGATATGTATGTTCTGTGTGTGTACTGTCACATGTTTGTAGCGATATGTATGTTCTGTGTGTGTACTGTCACATGTTTGTAGCGATATGTATGTTCTGTGTGTGTACTGTCACATGTTTGTAGCGATATGTATGTTCTGTGTGTGTACTGTCACATGTTTGTAGCGATATGTATGTTCTGTGTGTGTACTGTCACATGTTTGTAGCGATATGTATGTTCTGTGTGTGTACTGTCACATGTTTGTAGCGATATGTATGTTCTGTGTGTGTACTGTCACATGTTTGTAGCGATATGTATGTTCTGTGTGTGTACTGTCACATGTTTGTAGCGATATGTATGTTCTGTGTGTGTACTGTCACATGTTTGTAGCGATATGTATGTTCTGTGTGTGTACTGTCACATGTTTGTAGCGATATGTATGTTCTGTGTGTGTACTGTCACATGTTTGTAGCGATATGTATGTTCTGTGTGTGTACTGTCACATGTTTGTAGCGATATGTATGTTCTGTGTGTGTACTGTCACATGTTTGTAGCGATATGTATGTTCTGTGTGTGTACTGTCACATGTTTGTAGCGATATGTATGTTCTGTGTGTGTACTGTCACATGTTTGTAGCGATATGTATGTTCTGTGTGTGTACTGTCACATGTTTGTAGCGATATGTATGTTCTGTGTGTGTACTGTCACATGTTTGTAGCGATATGTATGTTCTGTGTGTGTACTGTCACATGTTTGTAGCGATATGTATGTTCTGTGTGTGTACTGTCACATGTTTGTAGCGATATGTATGTTCTGTGTGTGTACTGTCACATGTTTGTAGCGATATGTATGTTCTGTGTGTGTACTGTCACATGTTTGTAGCGATATGTATGGTGTGTGTGTACTGTCACATGTTTGTAGCGATATGTATTTTCTGTGTGTGTACTGTCACATGTTTGTAGCGATATGTATGTTCTGTGTGTGTACTGTCACATAATTGTAGCGATATGCATGTTCTGTGTGTGTTATGTATGTAAATCTTTATTTAATTTGGGTGACCGTCGTAAGTGGATGACAAAGTGTTCCGTTTTCATTTCTAAGGATTGTTCACACGTAATATATTTACTGTACCATATTAACTAGGTAGTGCTTTTCTGCACCAGATATGGCTTTATAGTTTAATGTAACGCTTAGTACACTTACAACAATCTGATCCTTAAGCGAACTCCAATTCAATAAGTGAATTCATGACGCCTTATCACTGTCGACGAGAATAACCCAAAAACACGTTTCCGAATGTATTTATCAGTTTATTGAGTTTTGTTAGGTGGTTACAAACAATACATTGACTAGAGATTTTGATAGCATTGCCGGTTATCTTATAACCTGTGACTGGTACATTTGTCACCTGTGTTCACCAGGTAAATACCTCACCTGTATCAGGTACACATCCCACCTGTGTTAACCAGGTACATATCTCACCTGTGTTAACCAGGTAAATACCTCACCAGTGTTCACCAGGTACATATTTCACCAGTGTTTACCAGTTAAATACCTCACCTGTGTTCACCAGGTAAATATCTCACCTGTGTTCACCAGGTAAATGTCTCACCTGTGTTAACCAGGTACATATCTCACCTGTGTTAACCAGGTACATATCTCACCTGTGTTAACCAGGTAAATACCTCACCTGTGTTAACCAGGTAAATACCTCACCTGTGTTAACCAGGAAAATGTCTCACCTGTATCAGGCACATATCTCACCTGTATCAGGTACATATCTCACCTGTGTTTACCAGGTAAATGTCTCACCTGTGTTAACCAGGTACATATCTCACC